GCTCCGACCACGGTAGCATTCCTCCCACAAGTGGCTCAGGGCCCATTCCCAAACGCCAGGCTTCGCGATGCATATACCACAATTGACCAGCCAGATCTATGAACAGGGTAGCAAGACGGCCAGATGATGCCACTCTTCGTCATCCCGCTCTTCAGACACCAGACCGCCCGCATGTCTTGACACCCCAAAGACCCCTGCCTGCGCTTACCCCCAACCACTCTCCTTGGTCGCTGGAGAGATGCGGTACCCACGCAAGGTTGCCGACTTCGTAATCACACTGCCAGCTAGCGAATGGGCTTCGTGTGCTGTCGGGCTGGCCGGCGCCATTGGCAGCAGGAACGCCACCGAGGGAGTGGTTGTTGTTGTAGACATCCCAGAGCAAGACTTGGCAGTCGTCTCCTCCGGAAGCCAGGACGCCTCGCTTAAGGGGCGACCATTCGATGCTGTTGAGCGCACCGCCGTGGCCGCGAAGTTCCAACAAGGCCTGTCCAGGATGGCGCACGTCCAGAATGCGAATAACGTTGGAGTCCTGCGCAAACGTAGCCAGCAAGTGAGTGTCGTGAGGCGACGTCGCCAGTCTCAGCAAAGGAGGAGGGTTCGACATGGTCTGCTGGGCCAGGGTAGGACTGATCCGACCGCCATTGGCATCTGTGAAATCGGGTTAGCAAAGGCGCGAGGTGACTCTGTAATTCACACGACGTACCTCGGTCATCCTTGCCCGTGGGCTCGTATATAATTGTGCTATGCTCAAGACTGCGCAAGTCGAACATGCGGACACTGCCGTCCTGTCCACAGCTCACGAACACATCCACACTATTGGCACAGAAGCGCACGTCATATACCTCCTTGTCATGAGCAATCAATTGCGTCTTCGCCGTCAATGAGGGGATATCCCAGATTGTGCAGGTCGTGTCTATGCTCGAAGTAATGATCAAGCTTGGGGAGACCGTGTTCCAGTCCAATGAGGTCAGCGGCGCAGTGTGGTCCGGGGTTTTGGAGTTGGAGAGAAGCGCCAAAGGGGTGAGCTTTGTGACGCCGGGATCCCTGCCTTGTCGGTTGATCGAGTTGCTCTGGGACACAGGGCTTTCCGAGGGCAAAGACCACAATCGGAGGTGATCGCCGGACGTCGCAAGGAGATCGGTGGATTGTTTCTGCGAAGAGGGCGGTTCCCATAGGAGGCGGGTTACGGGGTACGAATGTGTGGCTTCGGCAACCTTTGAGAATTCGAGATTGAACTTGGGAGTTCCGGGCTGGTAGACGTCGTTGGGGGTCGGCACCATTTGGGTATCGAGGATTTGAATCTACGATAAAAAAGTCAGCATAGTCCTAGGCTGGCCAATGGGGTAAATCCGGGCCCTACAAAATTGTGTCCGTCCTCCAGATAGCTACCGACGGCGAGCTTGCCGGCTCCGTTGCCCTGAGGCGGCCACTTGCACCAGTCAAAGGCATAGAGTGCCCAAGGAGCAAGATAGTTGCTCGTGCCGGGCTGGACATTGGCGAGATCGAAGGCGGTGCTGCCAGGCACGCCATCCGACATACCGGAGTCGGCACGGGGCCGAATATCAGCCAAGCCTAGCGGAGTGTTCGAAATGTTCCGCTGAGAGCCTGGAGCATTGTATTTTTGATCTGGCGGCGACATGAATTGAGAACCGGATCCGCTGGGGGTCGTGGGGATGTAGGGCGCGAATGTTGCGGCGCCTTCGTAGTTGGCAGCGGGGGAGGAGCGCGAGTAACTGTGGGTGAGACTCAAGCTGGGCTTGGAAGGGGTCTGGTAGTCTTGCGACTGCTGAGGCATTGTAGCCATGGCCGGGGCGGTGGTTGCGGTGATGGCGGGGGGACGGCCACCTGCACCGCCGGGTTGCAGTACGTTGGGCACCGACGATGTGCTCTGGAACTGGGGGGCGTTCGGAGAGGCCTGGTCCAGCTTGATCTGGGGAGCGGCGGGGGCGGCGGAGGAGGACGAGTATTCGCGGGGCGATAGCTGGCCGTGCTGCATCATGCCAGCAGGCATGTGCAGTTCGTCGTGCTGGGAGCCGTATGTGTTGTTTCGACGCGGGGTGGCCGAGGAAAACTGCTGTTGCTGCTGCGGCGGCGGCTGTTGCTGCTGCTGAGGTGTCGGTTGTTGTTGCTGGTTCATGGCCGCGACGGAGAAGGACGGCGCGTGGGAGGACGAGGAGAGATGAGTGACGGAGGGGGAAAGGCCCGGCGGCCCTGATGTCTCAGTCGCAGTGGGGTGTACAGGCAGCGAATAGGTCGAATCGTGGTGATGATGGTGGTGCAGCTGGTGGCCATGGACCGGATGCAGCGCGGCGGGAATGGAAGCACGCTGCTGCTGCTGCTGCTGGGAATATGAATGAGAGCGGTAGTGATAGGAAGGGGAGTGGGAGTAGGAGTAGGAATGGGAGTGAGTGGGCGAATGCGAGAGGTCAGAAGAGTGCGAGTAGGAGTGGGAATGGCGAGGCTGGAGGGGACGGGAGGAAGCGGAGTCGGGAGCGGCAGCGGCAGCGGCGAGGGGAGAAGGAGGGGCGGCAGCGGCGTTGGCGATGTTGAGGCCGCGGTCGTGGTGATTCAGGTGCTCGGCGTCGTCTTCGTAGTAGAAGTTGGCGACGGCGTGTTTCTTGGGCGCAAGGGGCCCGGTCGCAGTCGCAGTCGCAGTCGCAGTCGCAGGCGCGGCTCCTGAGGCGAATTGAGGAGATGAAGTTGGAGAATGAGAGAGGGTTATGGAAGGAGGATGATTGGGATCGCGGTTGGGCGACAGATGCCGCTGATGCTGGTGTTGCTGGTGGTGGTGGTGGTGCTGCTGCTGGTGTTCGGGCTGCAGCTGGTACTGCAACCGCGGTGACTGCTGCTGTTGCTGAGAGTGGGATGACAAGGCACCAGAGGGCGAGGGTACCGGATTGGGCAGCGAATGGTGGAGGGAATCGGTGGCCGCCGTAGCGTCGTCCATGTCCATGCTGGCGCTGACGCTGAGGCTGGCCTGGCTGTGGCTCCGGCTATGGCTACGGCTCTGGTTCTGGCTCTGGCTGATGGCGTTGGCCGCAGCAGTGCTGCTGGCAGGGGCCCCAATGGAGCCCAAGGCCTGGGCCGCTTGCCAGAGCGCCGAAGTTGCGCTGAGCCGATGGGAATGTCGCTTGTGCTGTTGTTCTTCCTCCTGCTTCTCCTTGTCGCCGACGCTCTGCTGCGACGCCGACCGGCGATGGCCCAGGAAATGCATATTTTCTGGTCAGGGCAAGTGGCCGTGATGTATGCAGAGTACCCAGGTAAGGAAAGGTAAGGTATACAGGTTGCGTGGAGCCTCCAGCACAGGGCAAAACGGACGAGAGCAGAACAAAAACACCTGCTTGTCCAAGGAGCCCGGAATGACACGGCACGCGGCGAGGGACAGACCAGAGCAACACCAGCCGATGCCTGTGTTCGAGTAAGTCAGGCAAGGTACCGTGCCTCAACTCGGCGCACAAGACACGAGGGTCCTGATGCTACGTACTTGGCTGTAAAGAGTCAAAGTACTCTGGATCAAGAGGAGCAAGAGAGTAATGAGACAGACCATGGGCAAGACTGACGACGAACGGTGGTGATGTCTGGACGCTCCGGAACACGAACACACAAACTTTATCTTGGCCTCCGTCCGCGCGCTCCGCGTCGTCACTGCAGGAAAAATCGCTCTTCTACGGCATCACTTCTGACTAATAAAACGGCCTCCCAGTTGACTTATTGGCGCTGGACAAGGAGACGGGGGCCTTGGACGGGACGGGGGCAGATGAGATAGGGATGCGCGTTGTTGCGAATCGTTTGGGATGCCGCGTCTGTACTCTCCAATGTCTCGTTTCGCACAACACTCATTGCGTGAAGCTTGCCCTTCTCCCCTGATGGCTCCCTCCATGGAACTAACGGTTCAATGCCAATAAAGCTGCCAATGCTGCCAATTCCACATGGCCGCACCTGATATGTCCCTGGCTTTAACTTGCCTAACCTTGTCTTGCCCAAGATGGCGCACAATACCTTGCCTTACCTGACTTTCCGCTCCTCGCCCACCAGCCGTGCCTTGCTTGAACCAAGTGCAACAAAACCTCTTCCTTGCTGGTGGGTTGGGATATCTGCACGCCGGCTGCCTGACTGAATCTTCCTCTTGGGCCAGAATGTGAGGCTGGGCGAGACTCCTTCCGACCGGTGCCCAACCCGTAAAACAAAGAAGAAAACACATGGGAAACAAGGAAGAGGTGCCTTCAAAACGTCACATTGAGGGCCCATCCCCAGCTAGGTAGACCCAGTGGAATGGAAGTTTGTGGGAAATAAAAGACTGGAGACTTCAGACCAGACTTTCTCTGCTGTGTTGGGTTGGACCAAGCTTGGGCTCTGAGTAATGACTGACATTACATAAGCCACTAGGTACTCCACAAGCATTTGCTCCAGTGAATCAATGCTTACATGCAAGTGACCTTTATAAGCTTATCGGATTTCTTTCCAATGGATATTTCTTCCAGGTTGCGATAAGGAGCTAAGTCCAGTGACGTCTGTAGCTGGAGCAGAAAGGGTTGCCTCGTGCCGAACCGTGGCACATGCTCGGAGCTCGTGAGCTCGACACATTTACCTTCAGTTGCTGGCTTTTGTGACAAATCTTTGCCGTAGCCCATAGCAGCCCGTGGATTCTCAAGCCGTGCCGGCCCATAGACTCCCCCATATCATCAACTTCGCTTCCGCGCCCGACAACTTGCTTACTCGTACATCTTAGCTGTCATCATTCATAGTATTACGCCATTCCACCCCATTTCTGCCGATTTGTCGCTCAAACAGCCCGACAATCCTGTCGGCATCGTCCATGTGTCTTGATGGCCCCAGACTCCCCAAGATTCTTTGATCGGCTCTCGCTGAGCCGAAACAAATCGCCTCTCCTGCCGCTGCATATCTCTGCCGAAAGACGTGCAAACGGTTACGATCTCGACGAACTGTCCCCACGACCGCACGACGCTCTGCTTCCAGAGTCGCCGCGAACACCCATTACGATGTCAAGACGCCGCTCTCCGTCTCCTGTGGACCCGTGGGATAAAGATGTTTCGGACGAAGACCCCCTCAGTCCCGCTGGGTCTATCTCCAAACTGAAGCCCAGGGCTAAGGCCTTGTTCGCCGGCCCTCCACCGCCGATCGCCGCCTCGATTCTGGTTCAAAATCCACCGCAGGGCAGAAGAAGTTCTAGAGAAGGTTCCAAAGCCGGTCGCAGTAGTCATGCGGCTGGGGGCATGGCCCCGAGCCGAGTCAGTTTCGGGAGCATTCTGTTCGATCAGAGTTCGCGCGGTTCAAGCTCCTCGTCCAGAGGTGATTCGATATGGCGCAACCTACAACATCGGGAGCGAGCGTTGCAGAAGGAAGTACAGCAATTGCTGGACATGCAGGCCACGGGACTAGCGCCTAGCAATGAGTCGACAGACACCATTGCCACAGGTGGACAGGACGCCTGGAGTGACTCAGGGAGTAGTACGCCCACGGGGACATTCTATTCTACAGCATCATCAAAGTCGCGGATGATGGCATCGCTCGATCCACCAGTGCGCGCGACCGCTCGTGGCGACATCATACCTGTTCGGCAACCGAAGACCTCGGGGCCTCAAGGCCTTCAGACCGCACGCAAAGGCCTGCGGCGTGCTCTAACGTACTTGACTGACTTGAAGTCCGAAGAGAACTCCTACATCGAATCCGCGCTGTCACAGCGCAAAAAGGCACTTTCGCATTTGGGCAACCTTTGCAGTCGTAAAGAAAGCATCTCTGCAGAGCTTTGTAGCCTTGCAGACAATGAGGAAGAGCCGCTGGGCAAAGAGCTTCGAGACCTTGGCGACCAGCATGAATCCTTGGGCCAGGAGATTCGTGAGTTAGAGGAGAAGCTCGTTGGCATGAGAAACAGGCATCGATGGCTCGAACGTAAAATGGCGGATGTCCGCAATCGCCGAGAGGCCGGCTTGAGCGGGTACAGAGGTGCGCTGAAGGAGGTCGAGGGCGAGGTTGCGTCTTTACTCCACCGGCCCCCCATTGAGCCTCTCGATTCCGACGTAGTCGAGGCTGTATCACGTACTGACTCATCTTACGGGGCGAACGATTTGCCTGGGGGCGCTGATTTCTTTCGCATGATACCCGCCCGGCGTACGCTTACCATGGCAAAAGACTGGTGGGAAAGTGAGGTCGACTTTTTGGAGCGACGGAAGGCCCAGGTTGACAAGGATCGTGAGGCACTCGACCAGGGCACGGCATTGTGGCAGGAAACCGTCGATCTCATCACCACGTTCGAGGCCGACCTGCGGAAGTCACTAAGCAGCGGCGTGAATGAGAAAGGCAAACAGACCCCGCGGATGCAGGAAGAGGCCGTTCAGTCGATGCTACCCAGGATGGGCAAGGTGATCCTGGAGCTCGAGGAACATATGCGGACTGCGGAGAAGAACAGCTGGAACCTCCTGATATGCGCCGTCGGCGCTGAGCTCGAGGCGTTTAGAGAAGCTGAGCGCTTGCTTCGTAGCAGCCTCCCGCAACCCAGGGCGGAGGTTGGTGATGTCGAGGAACCCTGGCCAAATGATGAAGGCCAACAAGAACGCAACGAGAAGGATGCCGATGCCGTCGAGACGAATTCTGTTGGTAGCCACCACGACGAGAGTGACAACGAAGTACCGCCTGATTTGCTCGTATCGCACCTCGAAGAGCATGACGACGCACAACCACACGCCAAGCCCATTGGAGCTTCCTCGAGACGAGACAGCGACAACGAAGTGCCGCCAGAGTTCTTGGCTGAGCACAGTCTGTAGATTGTCTTGTTGGCCGGATTGAGGGAGCGCTGATGGATCACATTCGAGGGACTTGCGGTGACTGGTCGAGAGCACACGGCATGGATGATGAGTTGCGGGGAGGACCCCTAACTACGACTACATTGGATTACTTACATTATGGCAAAGGGCATTGGATAGGACAGGGCACGTAGGACAGGATACCCCACGAATAGTCAGTTTGAACGGCGTTTATCGGAATGCCTAGGAATCGATTTGCATCAAAGCCCACAGTTCGCCCGTCCCCATGTGCTCCCCGTCACGAGGCAATTTAGGTAAAGTCGCGGGTACGTACAAGTGAGCTGCAACTGTGGCGCACTGGATTGGTTGGTAACCTCGGCTATATCTGTGTTTTGCGACGAGGACGATCCCGAAAGTGGGGTCTGAAGGTCCGGTGGTAAGGATACACGGGGGAGCCTGCGCCAGAGGCTTTTATAAAGAAAAGCTGGGCGACGAGAACGCCGTCTCGTCCACCATGCCCAACGACATTTGATAGCCCCCGCAGCACGATTCCAGCATCGCACGTAACATCTTCGGGGAGCAGAGTTTTGTCCGAGATCGAGAACACCGACCGGGTGCCCGCCGAGGCGCCACGCCCCGACCACCCGACCCTCGCCGAGCGTTCACCCAGGTGCCGAATCCCCCACGCGGCCGCCGAGCATTGCCGCGCCAATATTTGCAAGAAAAATGGCCGAATAGACGAGAAAATTGGAATAGTCGTTGGAATAGTCGTCGCGCCGTCGAAATTCATGAAAGGGGGAGGAGGAGGAGCAGTCATCGTCGTCCATCTACCGCGTACGCTCAAACCATCCGCTGGAGCCGGCGATCGCAACCGACTGGTCCATCACCCACTCGCCGACACCGAGATACTTGTCAATCCACTTCGACATGTCCTTGTTCTCGCCCGCGGCTCTGTCAGTCTTGAAACTGGGTCTGACGATTCCCAGAATGGGCACTTGTCAGCTGCCACGCATTCTCTTGACGCAGATTTGCACCTGCGGGTGACAGTTCTGTCCTGTCCAGTTCGGATCGATACTCACGTAAGGCCTGTCGAGCGCTTCATGCCAGCGAGGAAGGCGGAAACTGTAGGTAAAAGCATCAGCCGGTTGTCGTCCGACGGATCGGGGCGGTAAGAGAGAAGGGGGGGCAACGAACTGAGAACCGCATCGAATGCGTAGTGAGTCAGACGCCCAAACTTCGACCACAGCCCCAGAGTCAGCAAGTTGAGGAGCTATACGGAGGTTAAGACTGCGCAAGCAAGTCGAAGACGAGGCAGCGAGCGAGCACGCACGAGGAGGACTCGCCGCGCGGCCGGAAACGGGGGGAAGGAGGTGGTACCAACCATCATGAAGATTCAGGTTTGTTGTTTCTGTTTCTTTTTTTGGCGTCGTTGGTTGAGGAGTTTGCGCGTTTCTACTCTCCTTTGCGTTTTGGGTTTTGTTGGTGTCGAAGAGGCGGTATCGTCGCTTGGGTTTTGGAGACAAAGGGTGTTGTCATGGGACAAGACTCGTTTGGCACACCACCAGGGTGGACACTTTTCGCACCTGAGAGGACCCCACGGGAGGAGGCTGGGCTGGCGGCGACAGGTGCAGCGAGTGCTGTGCCTGGCCAGAGGTGGTCGGTGAGCGGTGCAGAGCTCGCGTGGACTAGCTCGCGTGGACTGTGCGCCACTGCGTCCGCTTAGGTACCTGACAGGCCTCAGGCTGCCGGGCCGCCGCCGAGGGTGGGCCGTTCATGTTCATCGTGGCACCGTCCAGCGAGGTGTCTGCGGCGATAAGGAGCGCGCGACTTTGGGAGAAGTACGGTCAAGTACCTCGAGTTACGTACCTCGATACGGAGCTCGCGTTTCAGTGGAACCAAGCTTTGTCAAAGTCACGTGGCCCTGAGGTCAGCTCCAAGTGGGGTCAGGTTGCTCTCATCGGTTACCCGACGAACTCTGTTTGTTGCATATTTCTCGCTTCGAGTCTTTTCGACGGTTTTTCCCTCTTTAGCCCCCTCAACGGTCTGCCCGTAGGCGCTCCCCTGCCTGGACGGCCGATAAGCGGCGGCGCAGGACGCGACTCGGTGCATGGTACTGTTATCGGGACAATTTGATTCGCGTCACGACAAAGAGGGGAATGGGATTGGGCGATCCGGTGCGGACCTTGGACCTTGTGCCTTGGGTCTCGGAGGACTTTTCCTCCTCCGCGGTTCAGATTCAGTGCCCCGTCGATTCTGGAGGGCCGGAGCTACAGTACCAATTATCTTCTTGACGAGGGCATTGGACACTCCGCGGACAGGCCAGGAAGCACCCCAAGTGGACCAGGGGACCTCTCCACTGCGACGCTTTCCCTTTTTTTTAGCTGGTGGGGAGCCCTGCTGGAGAGCCAAGGTGTCCAGCAATGGAGGGTCTTGGAGGGGTCGGGCTGGCGCTGCCGCACCCGTTGGAAATAGCTGTGTGTCAAAAGCATGAGCTCTGGTTTGTTGAGTGTTTGAGGCTTTATGGCCCAGCGCCCAGCCAAGGTCGCCCAAGGAAACGGAGCTCCGTCGCAGAGTGGGAGAAGGGACAGCAGAGATTGGACACTGCCAGGAACTCGTGGACTTGGGCAGAGGCAGAGAGGACCTGGACCAAATGGCCGGAGGCGAGCGAGGGATGGGACTGTTGAAGGGGAACTTGGGAAGGGAAGGTGGGAAGAAGAAGAAAAAAAAAACACGAAAGAAAGGCCGAAACTAACAATGCTATTGAAATCCCTCACATCCCATCCCGTCCATGCTCCCCGTTCCGCCATCCCCGCCGGTATCTTCTACTACCTCCCTCCTCCCATTACTACTGTTCGCGGGGTTCCCTCTCTTGCGGTCTTCTCTTCATCATTTATTTTTATTTTCCGCCGCACCGCTTCTGAATCACTTCACGTTGGACAGCATCACGTTCGAGCGTCGACGAGAGAATAAATAGCTTGGCTCAGGTAAGTGGAACGAGTCGCATCAACACCAGCACCAGCACTGCATCCCACGTCTACACCCCTGCCAGTTTTGTTTCTGCGTCTGGTCCTGTTTCTGTTTTCTCTCCCAGTTCCGCCTGGCACTATCACTGGCCTGACCTCACCTTACCCGACCTTGGGTCTCGCGTCACCCTGTTCCGGCTGGGCATTCTATTTACGTGTACTGCCGGGTTTGCGCCGGTGTGCAACGTACACAGAACGTGCGTGCCGAGCAGTGAGAAGACCAGAGAAAAAAGGTGAGGTGAGGCGGGAAAAGGGCAAGTGCGCACATACCAGAGGATGGGCATGAACAGGGTCCCCGTCAGGGAAAGGTGAGGTGAGGAAGGGACGAGGGTGCTGTCACAGCACCTCATGTTGGTGGGGCTCCCTGGTGGTGCTGGGTGCCCGGCGCTGCCAAAGCTGCTGGGTTCTGTTAGCAACGTTGGCTGATTGCTGCCACTGCGTTGAATTGAGGGGCAGTTTTCCCACCCGACCCCAAAAAGTCAATGGAAACCAACGAGGGGCAGCAGCACCGCACCAAGGTCCAGCGCCAGCCAGCGCTACCGGGAAACCGCCGACGCCGACCACCACCGCAGCAGCAGCGGCAATCTTCAGACGGACAGCAAGCAGCTTCTTCACTCGGTCTGGGCCAAGCAGCAAATTATTTCTCTTGCTCCCACCTCGTGTGTCTTGTCTGCCTGCCCTGTCCTGACGTCTGTTGTCTCTGCTCTGTCTTCCCCCCCGTCCTTCAACAAATACCCATCTTGGTTGAGGCTCCCTGTCTGCATAAATCTTGTACTTTAGGGTCTCACCCATCCATCAGCCATTAGATTTTTTTTTTTTAATCTCTCACTGTCCTCCCACTCCCACTCTCCTCACATCATCCCTCTTCCTCCTCCAACCCTCCACTGCCTGTCGACCAAGCAGGATCTAATAGCTGCCGCAGACCAGAGATTGTCACGACGCCAGCTTAACCACCTCTCCCTTCGAAATCGATACCCCGCCGTCAAATCTTCACAATGGCTGCTACTGCTCAGGACCACCTTGATGTAGGCGGAAAGATCGCCTGGCTCTCCAGCCTCGACACTGCCTACCAGCCCGAGAAGAACTACCGCCGCTCTTCCATCATCTGCACCATCGGTCCCAAGACCAACTCTGTTGAGGCCATCAACGCTCTGCGCAAGTCCGGTCTGAACGTCGTGCGCATGAACTTCTCCGTGAGCCACCCCGCTGCCTCTCCCTGTTTGACAGCAATCGGCTAACATGTTATCCACCAACAGCACGGCAGCTACGAGTACCACCAGTCCGTCATTGACAATGCCCGCGCCGCCGAGAAGGCCCAGCCCGGCCGTCAGGTCGCCATCGCCCTCGACACCAAGGGCCCCGAGATCCGCACCGGCAACACCAAGGACGACGCTGATATCCCCATCTCCGCCGGCAAGATCATGAACTTCACCACCGACGACCAATACGCCACTGCTTGCGATACTGAGAACATGTACGTAATATCCCTGCCTCACGAAATTTCTCTCCGCCGCTAACACTTCTGCGCAGGTACGTTGACTACAAGAACATCACCAAGGTCATCGAGCCCGGCCGTATCATCTACGTTGACGACGGTGTCCTGGCTTTTGATGTCATCAAGGTCGTCGATGACAAGACCGTCCAGGTCCGCGCCCGCAACAACGGCTTCATTTCCTCCAAGAAGGGTGTCAACCTGCCCAACACCGATGTCGATCTTCCCGCTCTCTCCGAGAAGGACAAGAACGACCTGAGGTTTGGTGTCAAGAATAACGTCGACATGGTCTTCGCCTCATTTATCCGCCGCGGCCAGGACATCACGGACATTCGTGACGTCCTTGGCGAGGAGGGCAAGCACATCCAGATCATTGCCAAGATCGAGAACCGTCAGGGTCTCAACAACTTCGAGGAGATTCTCCAGGAGACCGACGGTGTCATGGTCGCCCGTGGCGATCTCGGTATTGAGATCCCCGCCGCCGAGGTCTTCGCCGCCCAGAAGAAGATGATTGCTCTGTGCAACAGGGCCGGCAAGCCCGTCATCTGCGCCACCCAGATGCTCGAGTCCATGATCAAGAACCCTCGCCCTACCCGTGCCGAGATTAGCGATGTTGGCAACGCCATCACTGACGGTGCCGACTGCGTCATGTTGTCTGGCGAGACCGCCAAGGGTAGCTACCCTAACGAAGCCGTTTCCGAGATGCACGAGGCCTGCCTCAAGGCGGAGAACACGATCCCCTACGTTTCGCACTTCGAGGAGATGTGCACTCTGGTCAAGCGTCCCGTCAGCGTCGTCGAGTCTTGCGCCATGGCTGCTGTCAGGACTTCTCTCGACCTGAATGCCGGTGGTATCATCGTCCTGTCCACCTCTGGTGACTCCGCTCGCCTTCTCTCCAAGTACCGCCCTGTCTGCCCCATCTTCATGGTCACAAGAAACCCCTCTGCTTCCCGCTACGCTCACTTGTACCGGGGCGTTTACCCCTTCCTGTTCCCCGAGGCCAAGCCTGACTTCAGCAAGGTCAACTGGCAGGAGGATGTCGACCGCCGCATTAAGTGGGCTGTCGAGAACGCTCTGGAGCTCAACATCGTCAGCAAGGGCGACACCGTTGTCGTTGTTCAGGGCTGGAAGGGCGGCATGGGCAACACCAACACCATCCGTATTGTCAAGGCCGACCCTGAGCACCTGGGTCTCGGTATGTTGAACTAAATTGCATGTGAGGGAAATAGAAAATGCTGTTGGCGTATGGGAGGAATCAAAGTACCTAGTTAAATCCTGATAGACGATGGTGGGCCACGATGCCCTTTGACGCGAGTATGAATTACACAAATGAATAAAGCAGATATCACCTTCCAGTCGTTCGATCTATATTGATATCTTGATCCCAACTATATCATCCAGTCTTGACTGAGTTGCGGAGTAGTCGGAGTCGCAAGGAAGGGATGAACTCACATGGGTGCTCTGTCCAAGTCTGATGTATGGATGCGGAGACCAGTGAAGAACGGCTTTTGACCATTTCAACTTCACATGCAATGTACGTCTCTCGCAGCCATCGAACATTTCCTTAAATTTACAAGTTCTTCACCTCGAAGTTCTTCCGAAGATATTCGCCATACTTTATGATCAAGAACGGCACGGGCACTAAAGCTGCCGCAATGAATCCAAGAACACTGTTTCCCCAACCCACGCCCAAATCCTCATACATCTTCAGACCAGCAAGAGGCAGAACAGCGCCAGCCACGGACCGCACGACTGCATTCGCTGCCAGCGCGGAAGCCGCATAGATGGTAAACGAGTCAACCAGATAAAGCTGCAACGCCATGAAGATGATGAGGTTGCCAACGCCAATGATGGAAGTGCCAAAGATTGGTACGATCCAGTGCACACCGTACTCCGCTGTCCAGCCATAGATGAAGAGGCCTGCGGGAAGGAAAAGGGCGCCGGCCGGAAGCGAAACCAGCCGGTATTCGGGCTTCATTCCCTCGCGAGCTGTTCCAGCTTCGTCTGCGGCTGCATCGGCCTCGGCCGCTTTCTTTTTCACATACTTGTCTGAAGTGATGCTGAAGAATACGACGCCGATCATGGAGCCAACACCTAGACCGAGGAAGGCTAGACCGGCTGTACCGGCGCTAAATTGATACTGAAGCATGAAGACGGACGTAATGGAGGTGAACATGAGGTACAGATATCCGTATACGACGGCGATGTAGAAGCCACTGATACGAAGGGTCAGCCAAGTATCAAGGGGGCGGGTATGGATGGGCCTACAATATTTGAGTGATTGGCGAGAAGGCGATCATTTTGAGAGGTCTAACGATGCCGCGCTTGAAGTAATCGGCTGATGAAAGACCAATGTCAAGCTTCGATCGCAGCATCTTGTTCCCCGTCTCCTTTTGGAGCCGACGAACCTTCTTGTCCAGAATGACGGCCGCATACGTCTCCTTGAGGAAAATGACCATGATGATGCTAATGACGCCTGACACGATCGAGAGTAATCGGAACGTCCAGCGCCACCCCGCGCTTTCACTCAAAAACCCACCAGCAACCGGGCCTACGATCGGACCGAGGAGAGGTCCGATACTGAAGACGGACATGGCGACACCACGCTTCTCCTGACGGATCATGTCGGCGATGGAGCCGCCCCCGTTAGTGATGGGGCACGAGCCGAAGATACCTGCGAATAACCGGAATACGATGAGAGCGTTTAGGGTCGGGGCGAAGGCGGCGCCGATATTGAAGCATATGAAGCAGAAGTTGCAGACATGGTAGACTATCGTGCGGCCGTAGATCTCGCTGAGAGGAGCGCACAGGAGGGGTCCTGCTGCGAAGCCGAGTACGTAGACTGGAACTTTCTGTTGGCCTGATTTCTGCTAATGAGCGAGGGGATTGTTCACTGACCGGAGACGACGAAGGACGCTAGGTAGGGGCTGTCATTTTTAAACTCTTTCATGAGTTCTGGGACACCTGGGGCGAAGATAGCTGTGGCAGAAGAATTAGTTTTCGCTGGAGATAAGGTCGGAGAAGAATCATACATGAAGCAAGGGGGGTGACGAATGTCATGGCACTGATCAGTGTGCATGTCATGACTTTCCTCCAGGTTGGCCAGTTGTATGGGTTTTGAGGATCGTCGTCGCCATCCCACCAAACCACATTGTCGTCCTCTGAACTTTCTCCACCATCCGGCTCGTTTGTTTGAGGGCCCTTCTCAATATCTTCATGTCTATGGTTGCTCGTAGTTGATTTCCGCGCGTCTGATGCCCGTCTGTGTCTTGCTAGGGATCGTCTTCTTTGCTGTTCGCCGCCCTCATCGAGTACATAGCCCAGACTAGAGGGGATATCGGCGTCGTGACCTTCTGCGTAGGCCTCTGCTGTCTTCTCTTCTCTTGTGGGCTCACGTTTCAGTAAGTGAGGTGGTCCAGGGTCCTCGTTGTCACGTTCAGTCTCTCGAGTTGATGCGCGGTCATCTGTTGTGTGGCCAGTCTCCTTTTCTGATGGATCTGAAGGCATATCTTAAGAGGTCTACCGAGCTGACAGTGAGTATTAATACTGATTTATGTGGTTTGAGGACTTCTAGATGTGTATCGAACGGAATAAAGAGTGTTTGTATATGCATGCTATGCGATCCGTCCCGAGCCTTGGCAACTCGTTACGCTATCCACACGCGCTTGGTTTGACCCTCACCTGCTGAGGATTCATACGATAGGCTCGCATACGCAGAGAGGGAGTTTGAAGTGATAGCTTGGATTAACTTACAAATGGTTCAAGTCCAGCATACAAATCTGTAGCAAATGCAAAGTAGCTGATCAAATATCACCGCCGAGCTCGAATCTGACACACAAAATATGTAGTGATGGTGAAAATCAAAAGAGGTTCTGGAGGTCAAACGACGGGCAGTCAAGCTATGAATGAGTTAGGTTTAATGAGACCCATGGGTATCGAGCAATCGATGAAAATAGAGTGGCCTGACAAGTTCAGAGCAAGGGCAATCGCCGGACAACAGTGAACAGAATGTGAAGCAAACCGGAAGAAAGACAGTCAACGGGGCTTAGGGTCATACAGCACCTCTCCCACTCTTTAAGGGAATGATCCAAGCCTTTCTCGGGTTCTCGCTCCCATCATGCAGCCCCCATCCCATCTGCGCGAACCGTTGAGATGGGATTGAGCAGTGTCATACGTATTGACCAGCGGAACCTGATCACACCACCAACTGAGCACCGTACCATCAAGCTAGTCGGCCTCCCTGACTAGATCGGCGGGGAGAAGAGAGGGGAAAGGGAAGTCTGGGGTCTAGCGCAAAGATACGGCAGCTACAACTGTTAAATCCGCCCCGAAACCCGTGCGGTTAAGGCTGGTCCGTTGGTTTGGAGTAATTGGAACTTCTGCACGGTTTTTACGCGAGGCAACGAACCAATCTTGTTGCCGCCAAGAGCTCTCTGCCGCCAAGACATCGGGGTGAGTCGGCCGATTCTGCGCCGTTGCAAGTCGTTGTGTCTCGGCGCCCGATTTTCTTGGTGAGATCTCTCCCGCCCTGTGTCGTGGTCGGCTCGCATTTCCTGCCATCCACCCTACCTGCGATGTAACGTATAAGACGGAGCTGGTGCGGCAACGAATGAGAGCGAATGTTTCAAGGCCGGCTATCTCCGGTCATTTCGCTAAAGCCGTTGACCCGAATCATTGCTTCTCAGCAAGGGATTGAACCCCTGCAGCTGTGAATGCTCCCTCATACGAAAATGGGCACGGCAGCAAGCGCGTGATTCTAGACACATGTAATCTGAGTAAGGGGTTCATCTGAAGATAAGAAAACGCCTTTTAGACTTTCGGTTCTGCAAGACATGGGTAAGGGCATATGAGGAGGGCTATCATGTCTTGCAATTACCTGTGCTGCCAAAAACGGCGTATGAGGCCGGCTCCGTGTATCGGGGCCGATGTCCCACTTATCGCCGAAGAACAACGGGATCCATGTGTCAATACCACTACCGGAAACTTCGCGAACAATGGCCCAGATCAAGAAACCAAGTCTTCCGTTTCAGTTAAAGAATTGAAGCCAACTGATTATTGAGTAACCCATGAGGACGGGGGATAAGTTGTCCCTATCGTTATGTTTCTCCATCGTCTCCGTCGTCTTCATCGTCCTCATTCTCGTCTTCACTTAATAATGGTCCTCAAAGATCTGCCCAAAAGAGAAAAAAAAAAAAAAAGAAAAAATTATTCAAGAGGTCATCTACAGGGGCCTAAAGCGCTAATATTCTGTAAAAGGCCAAGCTGAATATCGTGTCGTCTTCGCAGAGTCAGAAGCCACAGACCCCTGCGTGGAGGGGCTTTATGGGACCGCTCATTCCTCACCCATCAACATCCCAAGTCTCGTCTGACCAAGGCCTTATTAGCGGTGAAACAACGAAGTTTACAGTAATGATTAATGGGAGATAACGAGGTAAGAATAACAATGGCTCAAGAACACAAGGATAAGAGGACGTCGCACATTTCTCGTAACCCCATCTCGAGGTACACAGCCAGCAAGACCGACTCCAGTACGAGGGTAGCTCTTTTGAGGATCACATAGAGTTATACTACCCGATGGACAATTTTGCAAGGGAGTGAAGCGGAAATGAGGTTAGATGAAGCCTGGAGGATAGCGAAAAGTTTACTCGAATGAGAAGAACACTGACCTTCAGATGAAAAGAGGCGGCGGTGACAGCCGTGACGGCAACCACATCAAGAAGGTGCAATTCAGTCGAAGCATGTATGGAATTTCTCAAAATTCACCAGGTCGGTCGCAAAGAAAGTCAGGCGCTTTCTTTCACCTCACTTGACGCACCGCCAAAGGCAGAATTTTGATCGATGCTACCACAAACAATCCTCACTTGAGGTACCTACCTGCCTCATTGACCAGGACATAAAACGCTCCCACAAAGCCGCTCTTCTTGGTTTCACCACCCAAACAATCTTCAGTTCGGCAAGAAAAAGGAACCCGTCAACTCAAAGAAATCGAAGGGAAAAAGCACCCCGTCAAAGAAGCGCCGAGAGTCTCGTCTAGGAACATCACAAGAGCTTCTGCCTCAAGACACCACAAGTATGCCTCACTTTCCTCCGCCAGGAGAGGCTGAATGCTCAACGCCTCGAAATTTCTCGTGATGATGCTGACTCGATGGCAGTGGATGAACCGACGCTGAAGAATAGGGGATCACTGCCTCAGATGAGCCACATCTCGA